TGTGCTTTTGGTTGCTTGTTCCTTTGTGGATCTTGCTGTGATTTTGCCAAGGGTCCTGCAACTCGATCCTCCACTTTGGAGCCCTTCACCTCAGCGACTTCCATGTCATCTTGGTGACATGAATGTCTTTAAGGGTCACAGAAGATACCCCTTTGAAGGTATCCATGTGGCCATGGTGCAGACAAGCTGACTGATGCGATCTTTAGATAAGTAAACAGCTCACTATTGGGCTGGAATACAAATGGCATCCTGATTAATATCTCAGCCTGCTGCACTGTTACGACTGGTGCCGGAGTAGCGTGCCCAGAGAAGGGACCGCAATCCTCCTCAGCAGGTCACACACCCAAAGAAGTGGAATGAGTTGACTTTGCATGAGGGATACTCCGGCCTACTGGGAAATGTACTATTAAATCTATTCTGAACTGATACAGGCTGCTTTCTGCACCTGAGATGAACTGGCACGGTGCAGCTTCCATCCGTTCAGCTAAACCCCCAGACAGGGCTTCTGAGTACCAGGTTGTGCCTGAGCATTACCTGGGAAAGCACAGGATGATGAACTGTGCTAGGACGTGCACTAATAAGCGCTATGGGAAATCACAGTGCAGGGCCTGAGCCTGTGCACCAGCACGGCTTTGCCTACTATAGGAAGTGCTAATTTACACTGTCTAGCCAGTGTGATCAGGAGAGAACGCAGCCAGCACCCACTTTTTGCTCCTCATATCTGATGGCCTGACTGGGTATGGCAAATTTTATGTGACATCATGACTAACCTACCAGGTCCTGCTCATCAGGAAAGGGTGTAAGAGGCAAAGGGAACTGTGAACCATCTACACGCAGGTTTTAAGGCTGCTCTACAGTCATACAGACTGCATTTTCTTTAGGTGCAGGGTTGTAAATCTGAGCCAAGCACAAAACAAATGTTTTTCACATTCTGATTGAGATGTCATAAACAACACCCCAGACACAAATGTGAAACAACTTCCTGTGCTGAGCCTAAAGAGCATGCATACTGCTGTGCCTTCACTTTGATACACCTGGAGGATGAGGGATCACATTGCAGTTAGTCAAATTTGGCACCAGTGCTAAGAAAGCATGAAAAAATCCCAAATGAAACTCTTTTCTGCACTGTACAAGAACTGGAAAATGTCAACTCTCCAGAGTGCTGTCAGTAACATGAAGCTAGGATGCTTCCTTTTGCTAAAGTCAATAAAGAGTTAATATTTCTGCAGGCAAATTATTGTCTTAATGCCCTCTTTTCATAGGTTTGTGGCAAAGAGGAAATATTCTTCAGACTAATGTCCTTAAGATTTTCTTGAATAAGAAATAGGTTCAAGCAGACTATGTGACTACCTCCCTGTTAGATGCTCTATGCCTGCAGTGAAATGAGAAACAGAAGGCACAAACTGCAGCTTGTCTTTCACTCTTTCTTTTTTTTTTTTGTGTGAGAAAAATGGTATATTTAATAATCATGGAAGGTCAGAAGTGTTGCCAGACAAATTGGAAAAAAGGCAATGCATGAGGAAGGATACTCTTACAGAGGACAAAGATTGGAAAGAGGCAATCTCTCGACAAAGAGAACAAAATCACAAAACCCTGGTCCTGAAGATTGCTACACTTCTACTTTCTGGCAGGTCCACTGTGCCTGGGTGGTGTGGCTCTGGTACCCAAAGTGCCAGCACCTCTTCAGGGAAGACATTGACCCCTGGACCTGGCACAGTCACAGCTGTGCAAGTGCTGAATGACACCGTTTTGATTATGCAGGACTTAATTGCTTACCATAAATGTTAGTGACTGTTCAGATTTGTACTGACCCGATCTTTACGACCTTTAGGAAATCTCAGTCTTCTCATCAGTTACCACTAGCCTAGAGGAGGTTCTGTCATCACCAAATGTTTTTGGGTTTTTTTTCCTGTATGAAATCTGTATAGAAAGAAGTGGAGTATCTGAGTGTCTGTTTTTCTCTCTTAATGTAAAGGGGCCACGTGCAGATGAGGCTGAATTCACACTACATTATTTCTGACAAATGGTGCTGGAAAAAGATAGACCTCAAATAGCTACACATTAAAGCACTTTGCTGACCCTCTAAAGTCATGAGAGCTTTCTCAGCGAGGGCCCTGATTTTGTGAAATAACCGGATATTTCAACTACTGGGGGCTTTTTGTGGTGCATGTGTGTGTGTGTGGGGTGTGTATTAGCTCCTGTGCAGGTCTGGGTTGGTTTTTTTTTTTTTGAGTGCAAGGTCAGTGTTAGAAATCTATGTGTTTTCCTGCACCAGGTAGTAGAAGGCAGTAACTGCTATGTGAAATCAGGTCTGCTGTCACTGATGTAACATGTGACTCAGTCTAGTAATTTGTTTAATTTATTCGGGTTTTAAATAAGCTTTTAAGCTGCCTGTGTACAAAACAGGAGGCTGACAGCTATGAGCTCAGATCCTGATGAAGTGGTGCCTGTGTAACTAGGCTGCTGTGGGGAAATGACTGACCCAGGGACAAACGAGCATGGAGCTTGCCTGAGCTCTGGCTCATGGCAGACCTTGCTGAGCTGGTAGAGGGTAATACATGAGTTTATTGTATAGGTTCCTGGAGACAAAAGCTGATAGTATAAGACTCTTACCCCTCCATGAATCTAACATGTGTTTTGTGCCATCCTCTCCGTGTAGCCACAGCATTGTTTCTAAGGGAAACTACTTGGTGCAGGCTTTCCTATGCCAAAACTCAGGTCCAGCTGCTATGGTAACGTTGAAAAACCCTAAGACTGTTTTTATTTCTCAGCTAGCTGAAGACTGAAGGAGAACAAAATGGTTATGTACACCAGGAACCGCTAAGGATGTGGACTGTGGACAACAGTCACAACACGTCTGTGCCATGTATGTACATGCTCTTATCTCCTTAACATACATTTGTGGTTGGGCACAGCTTGTCCTGTGACTCTACAGAAGGTTCAGACATCATGTTATGGATGTCTCTGACAAGGCAAAAGAAGTATGTTAATTTGCCTTTGGGGCACCTTGGGATCTACTGCTCCTGATGTGGACTGTGGACAACAGTCACAACACGTCTGTGCCATGTATGTACATGCTCTTATCTCCTTAACATACATTTGTGGTTGGGCACAGCTTGTCCTGTGACTCTACAGAAGGTTCAGACATCATGTTATGGATGTCTCTGACAAGGCAAAAGAAGTATGTTAATTTGCCTTTGGGGCACCTTGGGATCTACTGCTCCTGATATCCCCTAAATCTGGTGGAGATGGTGAGCTTGTGTCAGGAAGGCATCACAGTAAAACGTTGTTGTGTAGCTGAGGCTGGTTGAAAGGGTTTACAGTGAAGGTCTTTCCATAAAAATACGTGAAAGGGAAATAGAGGTTTTGATGAAATGTAATCATTTAAATTAATCTTTTATCAGCAAGGTAGCTGGTATCCAGGTATGGAATTTATGGCTAGAACAGTAGAAAGCATGTGTGTACAAGCACATGCATACCCAAGAGAGCGGGGGTCTCTAGCAGTGTGTAATGGTGGATACTCACTGTTCTGGAGAGTTGATGTCTTCTATAGGATCTTTGCTTGTTCTGGAAGGGTCTGATGAGCCCCATTGTGCTGGTGGATTTTGATCAAGATGATTTTTCAAAATGGCTTTCTCACCATCTGGATGGAGAAGACATTCAATTTTACTTTACTATGACCCAGTGAGCATTTTTAAATTAATTGTTTTATTTAAAAGTTTCCCAGGGGTTGATAATGGAAGAAAGTAAACTCTTTTCTGCCTGTGTTCCAATACAGTCTCAGGTTTCCCTGTGAGTCTTCGGTACTTTCATACTGTCGGTGATGTGCTCCTTCATAGGAACTACCACATAGAAACAGAAGAACAAAACTTCTTTCACCCTTCCTTTGCTTCCCCTGTGCCTTTAAAAAGAAACGGAAAACAAGCCTTGTTGCCCACCTCCATGTAGCCCTATCATGCTTGCTCACCTAGTCTTAGCCTGGGTAAAAGATTAACATAACTGCACCATAATATTACCTTGCACTCAAAAATTGTTACTTTTTCATAAGATAAAAACCTCTTATCTAAGTCTTTTCCTAGAAAAACTATAGTCTTGTTGATGTATAAAACCGTGGTACTCTTGCAATCACATAAGCAATTAAGTGCCATCATTTAATGATCTGCCATCATTTAGCACGGACATACGATTCATACCAGTTGCACTGGTCCATAGGCTGTCTGCAGGAAGGACAGCTAATGATTTCATTAAGCTTTCTCCTGCTGTTCTCTTTTCTGCACAGTGATAGTGCAGAAGATTATCATTTTCCCTGTAGGTAACTTCACTCGATTCCCCCGGGAGACCCAGGAGTCCATGGCTAGCTGTGCCAACGCCTGTGGCATTGGTCCCCCTGAGAAACGTGGACGAACAGAGAGATTTTAAGAAGACTGTCTTCTTCTGGTATCCTGTCTGTTCCTGTCTGCTTTTCCAAAGTCTCCTGCTGTGTTAAGCCAAATAAAGTCACATGGAAAACATCTGAGTAATGAGGACGGCGCAGAGTTTTCATAAATAATTACAGAGCAGCTCCAAATCCATCACTGGCAGTTGTTTGCCACACCACAGAGAAACAATGATTGCTGCAGGCATTAAGGCAGCATGGGAAGAGGACTCGAAGGTAAAAACTGGAAAAGGACACTGGAAGATTTGAATGTAAAAATGGGTATGAGGGAGAAAAGCAGGAAAATATTGAAGAGAAAATGAAAATAGCATGAAAAACCCAGTGCGTATTGAAGGCTTAAGCTGCTTCTCTGTTCTACTAACGCTCAGAAGCCCCAAATAATGCTCAGGTCCCAGCATGCTAGGATATCCAAGTTATCAGTAAGCGCTGGTGGGACAAAACAAGCAGCAGAAACACAGAGTGAGGGAGGAAGCTGGAGGCAAAACCAGGAGTGTCGTGAGGGCAAACTCTTAACACGTACAATTGCCCTCCCAGCGTGGTCAGCCCTGGCATTATTTTTTACCATTCACTTTCTTCTGTGAAAAATCTAACAAGCAAGTTGGAAAGAGGTGAACAGGCCAGGGTGCCAGAAATGTTCAGACATGGGGTTGCTACAGCTCAGGAGAGCAGGAAAGATTTTTCACTTATGTTGTGTGGAAGAGAAGGGTTTGGCTGAGAAAGGAGCTGGCCAGAACACATCAAGCTGCTTCTGCTGGGGCAAGAAAATGTCAGTACAAGAGAGCTACGGAATTCAGTTGTAGCAAGAAGAGTGCTTAAAAGGAAGATATGACGGGATTCAGTGATGGTTTAGATGTGAAGGGAGGACAGCACAGTCAAATCTGACAGTGGCTAAGATAAGCAATGAAGTCTATCATCCCAGGGCAGCCCGAAGTTGGCTGGTGTGGCATTTGCTGTCACAAGAGTTCAGCTTTTATTTTCCATATATTGCATTTCTATGTATATTGAGCTTGACATTTGCATAAAAGCCTTGTGATGTCTATAAACAGACACGTAGAAAGGAACACTTTTTACTTCCATGATTAAAACCAACGTTCAATCCTGAGCTGATCTAAGCGGACAAGAAAAACTGCTGACTTTATTATATAGACCAAAGTTAAAATTTGAATAATCCTTTCCATCCCTGAAATTAGTGGTGGAAAAGGTCTGTTATTTAACTATTTCAGGGTCCCAACTCCTTTGGCTAAGATAAGCAATTTAGCTTTTACAAAGGCTCCAAAGGTACAATTCTTCATCAGATGACTAGAATATGCAACTGTCGGGCTATGGGAGTATGTGATTTTGTGTATACGCCCCTAAAGGGGTTTCATGTGCTTTGAGTTGTTCCGTGAGAGAGGGAGAAAGAAGGAGGTGGTCCCTGTCAAAAAGGTGGGGGATTTAGTTTAAAGTAGAGCCGAAATCATATATTCTCTGCCCACTCACCTCTCAACACCAACTGCCCATATATCACGGTGTGTTATTCTTAATAGACCCTGTTCTACTGCTCTTGCAGATGACTCTCCCATAATGCCCTGCATAAATTTCTGTATACAAGGTTACCATATACAAGTTTTAATGTATATGTACAAAAAATAGAGAGAAAACCCACATAAAACTGCCATAATGTTGAGATTTTGTTTTGTTCTTCTTTCAAAATACAAAAAAGTTGGATAGTTCTTATTTGTTAAGCTTTTTGGGAGAGGAGTTGTTAGATTTTTATTCTGCAGCTATGGAAACTAGAATATCTTTCTTCTTCCTTTTTTTATTTTTCTCTTTTTTTTTTTTTTCATTTACCTTTCATTTAAATAATGAAGAGCAAGATTCTCACTTAGTCATACGCTTCCAGGAGCTGGAGCTTAAAGAAAAAAACACTATCACCATATGTACTTGAAGAACTTAAGGATGGAGAAAACTGATTTTATGTATGTGAACAACTGAAAGAAAATAAATTAAGGGTAACGGTCAACGTTTGAGTTCCTAGTTTCTCCTGCAAAGTGTAGCACTGCTTTTAATACTTCCCCAGCTTTTCTTCCTCTGTCCATTAAGTATGCCACTTGAAAAATGCCCTTCATTCCCAGGGTACTGTCTGCCACTGCAGATGCTACTGAGTGAGTTGCACTGGGATGATCCAACTACCTTCAAAATTGAATTTACATTAGCCAGAAGCACTTTCTACATAATTTTCACCTTTGTAGACCTCAAACCGGAACTCCGAAGTCTGGATAAGTGATGCCTGGGCACTTTCCATCCAGAAAACTGTCAGGAAAAACGGCAAATAGATCTCAAGGGCCTCGCACAGCACTCGCTGATGGGTTCATTAGGAAACAAAAACCCGCCGCCCGGTTGTTGGTGAGAGCCAGAAGGCTTTAGCTCGGGACCTTTGCCCACCTGCAGCATAGAAATGTCTCCCAATTAGGAAGCTCTGAGCTGTAAGAGCACATTCGACGCTGGCTGTGGGGAGGCTCAGCCGGGAGGTCACTGCTCCCAGCTGCTCGCCGGTCCCTCTGCCAGGGGTGACACTCCCTTCACACCTGCTGCATGTATAGTCACCCCGCAACCCGGTGCTGTCAAATTACCTGGGCTGGCTTCCGCGCGTCACGCATTTTAACAACTCCCACCCAGCTGCAGGCAGAAAGCATCAGGCGACCGCCACTGCTGCAGTTTCTTCCAAGATTGTAGAAACTGTATTTCTTTAACTAGAAGCTTGTTTTGGTGATGTCTGTGCACTGCAGCTTTATTGAACATCATCATTACGCTTTAGTGGCAATATTCCTCCAATGGCTTACGACTCGATGGAAGAACTGCTGTTCACCCCACATCTTTCAATTCCGCTGTTGTTTGCTCGTTGCTAGAAAGAATATTTTATGCTTCACAAAGAAGCAAGTGTGGTTTAATAATGACTTATAAAAGCTGGCAGAGAAAACCTTGCTGATTACTAAAGAACTCTGGAAACTTTAAAGCTATATTTTTAAAATATACTGCAATTTTTCAGACTTCTGTTGTTTGGGCTATGAAACAAGACTAGCCAGTTTCTGCTTTTTATGTAAACAGGATGAAAAAAAATTAAAAAAAAAAAAAAAGAAAATTAAAATGATCATATAATCTGCTGGGTATATCAGAAAAAGTTGTCCTGAACTCAGCTCGCAGCACCAAGCAGTCTAAACCATGACTTCTGATAGTTATATTTTGAAGGGAAGATTTTTTTTTTTTTTTTTTTAAAGAAAAGCCAGCAAGATGATCCTCTGATTTATACTACTTTAAATCGGAAGAAACTCCCTTAACTACAGATTTATTCCTATGCAAGAACTGAACATCTGACAGTTTGGTCTCCCCATTGAAATAGAAAGAAGCTCCAGTTTCAGGATTGGAATCCATTTGCTGGGCTTTCTTGAAACTAGTATACATATCTCTATATATCTGTATATACAATGATCCTTTCTTTAAAACATCGTTCCTTTAAAGACTCATAGACCTCTTTCTGAAAGCCTTTTCTTTGAATCTGTGGTTTCAATCTCAAGCCTAATGCTTGTATCACACTACCTTCATAGAAGTAATATTTCCTCCCTCCCTCACAGATGAACTCTGTTTTGCTTTGCATTTACAGCAACATGCCTTTGAAATCTGTTTTTCTTTGAGCTGCTTTCACATGGGGAAAAACTAGCACTAGGAAACATCGGAGTGGGGTGACAACTGACAGTATGTAGGCATATCTGACATGCAAATGAATGCTCCCAGTCCATTTACAGCAATGAGTAAAGACTTGTTTTCTGGCTTGAAACAGAAAAGGTTTTCTGTGCCAACAAGGGTGCCTGCAGAGAAAGAACTTGCAGAAAGGGTTTGTTCATAAGTGGGGACTATTGCAGGGCTGTGTCTTGCTTCTTATGTGCATTCCATAGTATGGGTGTCATTCATTAATGTCCCTAATACGCTTCTCTGAAAGGTACTGGCAAAGGTAGAAATAAATGGAGATTCTTCTGAGGTTGGCTTTATACAGACTCTTGCAATCTATGAATCATTCATGTAGAAATAATTTCACGTAATAACATGTCAAATAGAAGTCAGAAAGAGTAAGACAGTAGGATTCCAAATGTAGCAAAATTATCCAAGTACCCCAAACCACACAGTATCTTCCCTCTGTATTTTTCTCCTCAGTAAATTTTATCTCTGCAGGAACTTGCACAGCAGAAATAACTTCCACCTTCATGAAGTCTCTCCTGTTTCTGGAACACTGGCTACATGGGTGCAGGGAGCCCTTTTGGGAAGTTCTGGTTTGTGCCCGTGCCAGGGTATTTCTTCCCTGGAGCTCTCCGGCACAACCTTCCCCTTTACACAGCATCACAGTTACAGGCATTTGTCCTCTTTTTTTCCAAATGTCAGCCTGGAGACCTCAGCCAAGCTTGGCTGTCTTTGCTGAACGGCACTGCCAGTTACAGAGACTGCCGGAGCTGAGCGTGGGTCTCACCCCGAGCCCGTCCCTGCCACAAACCCAGGCTGTGATGCAGCTCTGCTGCACCAGCAAGGTGACCAGGTCCCGCAAACAGTGGGCCAGGGGACAGGAAAATGTGCTGTGCGCAGCGGCGAGGTTGCTAGCAGACAGAGTGACTCAAAATCATCTGAGCAATGTGTCAAATGAAGTTAAGGGGATGGCCTTTTAAATTCAGCTGGAGAAGCCATTTGAGATTCCAGAGCTGCAGTCCATGGAGCATGTTGAGAACTGCTTGACCACACAAAGCAATCGAGCAGCACAGGCAAGAGCCTGCATTAAAAAAAAAAGCAATCAAACCATAAACTACAAACCACAGTTCCTAATTGCTTTTCTTACATAGCCTATTGCTGGAGATGTCTTAGGGACATTATGTGTTTGTGAACAAGAGATGAGTGTCTCAGATAATACCTCTCTTAAAATGAGACTGAATTGAAATGTGCTGCAAAGAAGGAGTCCCCATGCCAGCAAAGAGCTCCTGGACTACACCGGGAGATGTTGCTGTTAATAACTAACCAGGAACTCCGAAGTTACGGAACTTTGCCTGAGGTCAGGCAGTTATGGGCATGCACAGCTGTGTCTATCGATTTTGGCTGAAGTAATTTAACTTCTGCATCCTAAATCCATACTAAATGTAAATGAGGGTGGTGGGGAAGGAAGGGAAGAATCAAATAACCTCCTTCGGCACTTGGCTATCAGAATTAGTAATTTTAACTCTGGACAATTTTTACAGGTCAGAAACCTACTGAAGTGTACTATGACTTTAAAGTTTGATTAGGACTTGTTCGAGGTGCATTGCACAAGTCCTGTGTTATTATCTGTTCTCTGAAGTGCAGTGCCCTGAACTGTGCCAGCAACAGCGATGGGGATACACTACACTGCATTCTCTGTGTGAACTCCTCCAGAACGCCAAGGTATTTTATAAAGAAGACTGACATAAGAGTCAGCCATGTCCATCATGCAAATGTGGCAAATGATCTGCTATGATCTTTAGCTCCAAGTCAGCTGTTATTTTTAGCATCTCTCTTCACAGTCCTACTCCCTCTCTCTCCGTTCCCATTTTCTAAAAGGTCCAAGGTAGGCACAAACCTTGTCATTGCCTTAAAAACAACATCAGACTGGCTTCCCCAGTTGCATGGTGGAGGTGAAAGACACGGTCACTTCTAGGTCAGGCTAATAAATTGTTTACAGTTCCAAAGCTTTGATCAAGTACCATCAGGGACACATAATTTCAAGGTTCTGTCCTTTCATTTACAGAGAGCTGCAAGAAATCCATAGTTACAGAAAGCATAGTTATGTCAGTCAGAGTTAGCTTTCCTGTAGCCATAAGGGCCAGAATTTTTTTAAGTACCATTTAAGCGATGTCTGTTTGCATCTGCACAGAAGCAGCAGTGACTCAGCAGCATGAATTCTCCAAAGCCTTGTTATTTTGATTGGAATGGCAAATTTAAATTAAGCACATAGGTTGACTATTGGGAATGCATGCAGTGAGAGAAATACAGAGGAGATTCAGACGTGCAGCTGGGGGAGAGGGAAACGTGGAAAGAGAGGAAAACAAGAGGCAGAAGAAATGGAAATGGAGGGACACAAAAAGGCTAGCATGGGTTGTTGAACATGGTGGCTCAGAGCCTGGAAATATGAATATTTGATGCCACTCAGGTCAGGATCAGGACACTCCATAATACTTGTGCTTGGGGCATTCACTGCCAGGCATGAGACCAAGCTTCAAACACCTGCTACAAACTGGGATCCAGGTCTTCCCCATTCCCAGGTGAATGGATGCTCTGACCTATTCAATATAAAGATGGCCAAGGAAAAACACCCTTCTTTTCCTTCCTCCCTCTTTTGTACGGAGCTTAATGCTTAGGTCCGTTCAGAAAACTGTGCCCAGCAACTTCAGTATGCAGAAGTATGCCTACCCTGTAAATCCCGACAGTACACAGTTCCAAGCTACGCAGTACATTAAGGCTGAGTACATACAGGTGATTTTAAATATGTATCCCACACAGAAACGTAGAAGTTAGGGAACTCTAGTGGGGGAAATTTAGGAACACAGGCAATCTTGGATGCTGGTGTGTAAAGCGGCAGTTAGGCATCGACATCTTTTGTAGATATAGCCACAAGTAAGTGCAGAAAGGTTATATTTTCTCCTTGATTTCTTTGCCAGCATCCTACTGCTAATGGAGTGCAACCTGCTGTGGAAAGCATCCCATCCTAAATTTATACCCAGTGTATCTCCTGAGGATCATTTTTATTTCTCATACCCAAACTCAGATGGGCATTTGGCAAAATGTAATGTATCTTTTCTGCTCGAAATATTATTCATGATTTATCATTTTCCTGCAGCATCTGACATGAGTGGAACATTCTATGTGTTCCTTTCAAACACTTGGTAAAACTGCCTCATCCCACTCACTGATGTTAGTTCTTGCTGCTGCTCTCAGCCCAATAATCACACGCCTCCAGCAGCTATTTATGTTTTCCTTTTCCTCCTTTCCCCCCTTCTGTTTTTTAATTTTAAAAAGGACACTGGGAACTCTATGGAGCTCTTTTTTTTTTTTTCCCCAAGTTACACAACCGAGTGTATCCCCAGGCTAAAACAAAAGGCACATGAAAAGTAACCTTATCCAACCAAAATTTCAGTATACTTCAAAAGCATATATGAACTGTTGCTGTTGTTCTAAAATTATTCTTCGACAACTGTATTTACAGGAGTAGCTTCTGTTCTACTTAACCAAGCCTACGCTGCCACACCAATAGGAAGCCTGAGCGTAGCATTCCAACAAACATATGAGTCTGTGACTTCCCAACACGGGGCAACTAGTTTTTCATGTAATATAGTAATAATCAGCTGTACAAAGTCATTTGCCAAAAGCCACAAAGTGGATCCATTCTAAAGTCAGAAATGGAAGCTGATTGTCCTGGCTTCCACTTTATTGCACTATGCACCAGTTCTTATTGCTTCCCAAAAGTGAAATACCTTTAATGGAAGCAATTCTTTTGCATATATTTCTTCAGGGAGCGATGCAAAATACACAGTAGAAACAACTTAGGAATATTACAGTCGTCATGAAATCCTTTTTTTATCAGTTCCTAGGGAAGAATTTTCATACATGAGTGCCTTCGACTCCACATTTAGAGTAAATCATCACTGAAATATTTACATGCTTCTCTTCTATGTGCTTGATAGCAGTGTCCAAAAGCAGGATTTGAACTTCCTACTCAGACGAGCACATATTAAACTGGGCTTCCTACTGCTGAAGGCTGGCATAATCAATTCTCACAAGATCTGAAAGACTCTGACTTTCCTCCCTCCATGCAGCACAGAAAACTTGACTTTGGAACCCAAGTATGCTTTCAAAAGTTTCCTGCTTTACCATGTATATTATACACACAGGGCATACAATAGAAGACATATGTACAAAGAAATAACTACTCAGTGGGTACCACACAGCTTTTTATGTGAATCTGTACGCTTTCTGTAATGCAACCAAAATATTTAAAGCTCTATCTTACCAAGGTCTGAGTGCTCAGGAACCAAACCAGTGAGACTGCTATTCAAAATACTGGTGGGTTAAGCTACTAATGGATTTTTCTAACTCTCACCTTTGCTGTCTGTAAAGTTCCGTATACTAAGAATGTCATTAAGATCCTGATAGTGGTTCTGCTTAATGTATGTTGTTTTCTCAGGAGTGTCCTGAAGCTGCATTGTAACCTCTTCCAAGTCTTTGTCCAGCTGCAAAACAGAAAGAGTATGAATCCCTGAAAATTCAAGAGTCATTGTTTCAGGTATCTGCAGTAGCTGCATAGCTTTCTATTAGATGGGAAGGCAGGTGGTAATGCAACTGCCACACTGTGCCAAACACAGTTATCTTATGGCACTACAACACTACCTCTAAAAACTATGTTACAAGTAACAAACCACGCTCAGCTATGGTACTGCACACAGAGCACATGAGAAGAGTAAGTTTTAGTAGTCGTCAGTTTAAGCAAGTCAGATGTACTGCTGAATGAGAAAGAAAAGGGCATTAGAAAGCCCAGTCTGAAAAAAACTCTCAATTGTTCATTATTTATGAATACAAATGTGGCATATGTAGCTATAACCACTTTGTTGAGTCAATAAAATCATCAAACATACAAGAGAATATTAGTGAATTATGACATGAGGGCCATGTCTAGCCATGTGAGTGACTGCAGTCAACTCTACTGGGAGATTATTTCCTGAAGATTATTTTTACTCCTTTTATCTTTCTTAGAGAGACATACTACTGTTAGAATTTTTGTTTGTGTCTCCGTGCGTGTGAAATTTCGAAGAAAATACAACTCTCAGTTTTTAGTCTGGCGGCTGAGAACACTCTATACTTCTGTGATTTGAAAATTACCCCTGTGTTTTGTATCTTTTGTGTCTTAAACTGTGCAATCTGATAGCTTGCAATGAACTGCCATTGCAAGCATAAATTTCCAAGAAGAGAAAAAATGGAAATAAGAGGAGGGGGAAGAAACAAAAATCCCAGTCTTCTCTCTCCCCAGATGCATCCTTTAAGACTTGAGGGAGAGAAGCACAGATGTTTTCTGACTGGCAGAGCCACAGCACAAATGCTGGGTCGGTACACCCCTAGCTTTTAGCACTGAGCTGAACACAGGGTGCTCTGCCTCCATAGAAAATAACCAGATACAAGCATCTTAACGGTGAGCTAGGATGCTCTCTGTGAACAGTTGCCCAGGGTGCAGTGTCCAGAGTACAGCTTACTCACTGCTGGCTTAACTGAATTTTAAAAGTGCTGAATTTACATTTACATTGTTTCCTTCTAGAACTGGGACACCACAACTCAAGGTAGATATGACAGAGATGTAGCTGCTAGCCATGGTAGGGCATGCTCTGAATCCCCTTGGCAACAAAACTCTTCTTTGGACCTGCTGGTTCTGGCTATTTAATTTAATCTATTTAAGCAAAGTCTAAAAAGATCAGCAGGGTGCTACCTGCACTAATATGGCTCAATTACCCTGATCAGCCTTACTTGTGATCACCTTGCAAGGCAGTGGGCTGAGATGTGAGTGAGGAGGCTTAGTAGACAAAACTACAGTAGGATAAAGAAACAGAAATACCCAGTAGCCAGCTGAGCCTTCATTAAAAATTGCAAGGCTCTCCCATGAGAGGGACCTGGCAAAGCTGAATTAAATTTCTTTAAAAGGGAAAGGTAACTTTTTATTCTGGAGTCTTAGGTAGTTTGAGTAAACACCTTTTGGTTACCTAGGCAATTCTCTTTGGTTAAGATCTAGATGAGGTCGTAATGGTTGCAATAAAATACCTTTTCTTGAGGGTATAAGAATACTTCACAGACTAGGCAAGAAGAGGTTAATTTTATCTAAGTTACAGACCAGTTATGGTTATCTTGTCTCAAAAAATGGGCAGTCTTCAAGGCTGATTTGTCATTGTTTGCAGTCTCCTGAGCAAGGATGGACATAATTAAAAATATACGTGTTATAGCTCTATCGGAACTCCCTGTACTTAGCCTTTCTCTCAGCAGAGACTGAAGAAACTTCACAGCCTTTGTGCCAAAAGGGTCAGCTCACATGTTCGTAAAGGTCTTTCTACCTTAAGAAAACATGTAATTCTCTTTCATGGCAGATGAAAAAATCTGTCTAGCAAGTTTTTGAGCGAACTCTCAGAGAGGTTGAGAAATAACAGCAACAGACTTCTCTGAACTCAGCTGTAAACAGGAACAAAGATGGCTCTGAAGGGCCCCTGGGGCTGTGGGTCTCTGTTACGTTGGCATGCAAAAGTCGTGCTTCTAGAGCTATTGCTCTATAGTGCTCAGGACCTCCATGGGAAGCAGCAGGGTAATTTGCTGGTTACAAATAGGGGAAGTTTCATTTTAATTTGGTAAGGCACATTATAATTTTATCACACCTGCTAAGCATTCACTGTATTAATTAGCTATTCATATAAATAACTTTTTTTCCCAAGTATTTTGGTATTTTTCTATGGGGAAATCTATTTTTTTCCTCTAAAAAGTAGTCAACAACTAAGCAGATTAAAGAACTGCAACAACAACAACAACAACAAAAGCTGCCTAGGCAGTACACACGATAAAAAATACCTCTGTAATTTTCATTCTCAAGCGGTGGTTCTCTGACTGCAGTCCTTCTAGTCGAGATGTGCTGGCCTGATTGACGCTGGTGACTGATGTTGATGTTTTTGAATCTTCTTTCTTTTGATTTTGAGTGAACTGAAATCGTCTGTTCTGTGTCGCTGCATCTGGATTTGTCCTCAGTGTGATGAGCTGAAAGGTTTAAAAGCCTTAAGAAATCCTGTCCACGGTTTTATTTTTGCAGCTCTTTCGTCTCAAAATATTGAAAGGCAAACCAAGAGTTCCTTTATGACTTTCAAGTACAAAATTCTGGAAAGTGAGCTCTGCTTGCCATGTGCCATACTTGAGATGATTTCTGAATAACTTTACTGAATAGATTGAACCAAAATGATTTTGCAAAGAGAAGTGTTCAAAAAAATTAGGAAAAAATAATTTCTGGATTTTAATTAAGTTAAAAATACACTTTAATATTTCATCAAACATATTTTTCTCCTTCACTGATATCTTTATTCTTCCAAAGGACCAACCTACCAAACCCTTCTCTTCCCAAGCAGTTTCATCCAAAATTTCTTCTTTCCTACTGTTACAAGTTAACACTCAAACAGAGAGAGTCATGAAGCAGGAGTATTAACAGAAAGAACTCATGGGGGATTGCACTCTGGAGATAACAGAAACTTAATTAGGTTTTAGTGACCCAAAATAAACTAAATCTGTTCAAATAAATTAAATAAGCCACTTAAAAAATAGGTTAACCTTAAACATATTTAATTTAAGCAAATATAAGTAAGATTTAACACTCGATGACAACATGAAAATATCACCTCAACATGAGGAGAGAAAGCTACTAGCTGATGGCAAGGGGGAGAGAGCTTCTCAGATTACTCTAGAGAATACAGCATTTATGATTACCTGCCAAGCAGCATACATATATATTTGTATACAGACAAAGCTGAAGGAGCTCCCTGCCCTAAGAGCATAGGCATGGTATCATAAATGCAAAGGTGTTGAGTTGTCTGAAAAGAAAGAAGGAGCAATCATTTTGTAAGCACAGCACGGTCAGATTTTGAAGTAAATCCTCATTTTGGAATTGGTTCCTCTTGTTCTTCAGAGCCTGAAACTGTTCTGCAGCTGCGGTGGCATGAAATAAGGACCTAACTTCTGACAGAGATCTGACTGATCAGGCACTTGATCCCCAGCACGTATTTACAGACCAAGTTTGCAGATCAGGATGATGCCTGAAGACAATACATTTCCTTTTTCAGGTGCTAAAGGAGATGGAGAAGGCTGAGATACTCAATACTGTCTTCACCGGTAAAACTTGCCTTCAGAAATCCCAGAGCCCCTAAGACCCCTAAAGCAACTGAACACAGGAAGTTCACACAACCTGATGAGATGTATCCCTGATGACTAGGGGAGCTGGCTGATGTCGTGAGGCCACTCTCAATTGCCTTTAGAAGATGACGTTGGTTGGGAGAAGTTCCTGAGGAGTGGGAGAAAGGAAATGTCACAGCTGTGTTCAAGAGAGGTGAGAAGGATCTGGGGAAATACTGCCTGGCCACCTTCAACTCAATCCATGGAAGATGTCGCAGCAAATCCTCTTGGGAATCATTTCCAAACATATTAGGAGCAAGGAGGTGATTAGAACCAGTCATTGCTGATTTAAGAAGGGCAAATCCTGCCTGGCCAACCTGACAGCTTTCTTCAGTGAGGTGTCTGGGCTGGTATATCAGGGGAGTGAGTTATTTTTGTTGACTTAAGCAAAAATCTCAACACTGTCTCCCGTAACAGCCTCACAGTCAAACTGATGGAGTAGTGACCAGCTAAGTGGCCACTGAGGTGGACTGAAGACTGGCTGAACTGCCAGGCTCAAAGAGTTCTTGCAAGCCAGTCACTAGTGATGATTGTTTAGCCTTCAGATGGAAGAGATCAGGGAAGACATTATTCATGTGTATAAATATGTGACGGGAGAGAGTAAAGAGGATGAAGCCTGACTCTTCTCAGTGGTGCCCAATGAAAGAAACGGAGGCATAAGCTGAAATCCAGGAAATTTCATTTAAACATAAAAAAAAAAAAATTACTCTGAGCATGGTTAAATGCTGGTATAGATGCTCAGAGAGGTTGGGGAGTATTCATCCTTGGAGATAATCAAGACTTAACTGCTCTAGGCCAGGAGTAACCTGCTGTAGCTGAGTCTTCCTAGAGCCCCTGCTTCTCCTCTCCCCCATATTTTTGATTCTAATTAGGCTGGTTGTAATGACTGATGTGTCTAACTCGCAGACAAAAAACTGCATTAAAATGAAGTTAAAGGTGAAGAATGGTAATTACAGGGCTTCTTAAATGAGCAGGCAAAAGTGTTACAAAATAAAAGCTCTGCAATTTGATGTGGTCGAAGTTCAAACTGAATGTAAGATAAAAGTATAGCCATCCCTCAATTGATTCATCTTTATGTGGGAGTTTATAGCTGAAGACTGGATGTTTTGCTACAAGGACATATGCTCTAATGAACTCCACATGGTGTGGATTAGACAGAAAAGTCTATGGGCAATGTTGTTGGCTCACATTGTATAAGGGATGAGGTTAGATGAGCTGGTTTTGTTTTTTTTTTTGGGCCATAAAGTCAGTGGAAGTTGGGTAGAAGCTGAATATCTACAAAGAGTCAATGCCAAATAGACAAAAACTGCTACCAACACAGAGAATTAATGTTTTAATCCTGGCCACCTAGAACTGATTTTGCTTTGCTGCTCTACAGGCAACTGGATCAGAATTAATATGTTAATGCCATTGCACCCAATGCTGATATGCACTCGATGGGTGAGTAGAAGTGAGCACAGTGTTCTGTCTCAAAGGGATGAAGCTGAAAAAACAGAAGGATGTGAAAATAAGCATGGATAAACATGGAAGAATTACTTTATGAAGAGAGAATACATATTAGGATTGTTTCTTTTAAAGAAACTATGACTATGCTGAAAAACACTACAGACCTGTTGGTCCTTAAAAAGATAGTTAGACATAGCAGTTGACTTCCAACAGGAAAAATATACATAATGTATTATTGAATTCTGCAGATCACTTCTACAAGATATCTTTGAATCCAGAAATCTATATAGTTTTAAAAATGTCTGGACATATTTTGATCGGATAACAAGAATGTCTACAGTTACTGTATGTAGGATGCAGTATAATGGATATCAACATTTATATTTGAGGATACTTTTAAACAGAGAGAGCAATCAACATTTTTTCCTTGATTTATCTTACTCTATTATGGGATTTTCCTCATGTTTTTCTGAGACACCTGATGCTGAACGAAATGGTACTGCGCGAGGTGGACATTTAACTCAAGAATTATAGTAATTGCCATGTTATAAGTAAATAAGATTAGTAGAGCTGACAAGAAGTAAGGGAAAACTGTCACATTTCTTTCCCT